CATGGACTTACTGTTCGATATCTTCATATTGCATCCATCGGCCGTCCTATGCTATAGCCTCCAATGAAATTAGTTTCTTTTTATGCCATAAAAAATAATTCAATCTATCAAGTTTATATATTCTCACCTGTAATATTCAACTTCTTCCGTTTAGAAATAAAAATAGATGTAGAAAAAATCGTAAAAGAAATTTCATAAACTTAAGGAACAATCCTCCTAACAAGGGCTGAATAAGTATTTTTTTCGCTCCACAGTAAAACATAAAGCTCCACGGTATATTTTACTGTGTCACAGTAAAATTTATCGTATGTCACTTTGAACAACCGCTGACCTTGCTTATTAGACTCAGAAAATCGGTTCATGAAAAATTCATTAAAAAAAAAAATAGAACAATGGTTCATTTCACCATTGAATTTTGTGTTGTCTGTCAGTAAGAAAAAAAATAATTTTAAAAACATTTTCATTAGCTTCTATTCTCATTCAAATTTAAATTGATGGGGAACTCTTCACAGGCACTTTCTTTTATTCCGAATCGCACAGAGGAGTCGTCCAGTGAACTATTCGGAATAATTAAGGTTAAAGTTAAACAGTGATCCCAATCATCTTGAACCAATAATATCATTAAATAAATCATCGTTTTTAAATGCAAGTAGGCTTCAAAGACAATATACCGCATACATACTGTAGATTTATATTTTTATAGATTTCTTCAAAAATAGGACTGCACTTCAGTTTGCATATGCAGTTGATATTAAAGTAATATACTATGGTTTCCGCATTGCAGAAATTTGATAAAACCTAGAATGTATGTTAACCCCAGCATACACACTACATTTCTAATGATTTAATATTTAACACTGCTATGTAAAGATTCTGCCTGGTATTTGTTCATGATAATTGTCAAGTTTCCGCAATGCAGAAACTTAAAGAAATTTCTTATTTGCTACTTAAACCCTGCCAAGAATGTATATCATATATCATAATTTAAAGCCTTTTCTATTTACAGCTGAATTGAAAATATCCCCTTCATTAATCTCAGAAAAAGGATTCACACATATCACATCACATTCCTTTAATTTAATTCAAACAAAATGCATAAGTTTTATTAAAAATGCATACGCATTTGTGAAATTAAATGCAAAGTTCACTTCGATGGTACACAGTTCGCAGTTCTTATCGTCCAACAGAGAACTCATTCAGTAGTTGGTTTCAGTTCTTGATACCTCACTTGTACTAATTCTATTGGTGGCTTTTTGTCAATCTGAACTGGCCAACACTTCACTGTAGTCTGCATGCATGCCCTGATCTTTTTTCTGTTAACTTTGAACATATCAATCTTTAATTATCCTTTTCATATCACTGGAAAAATTCTGGAACGGACCCGAAAGATCATACAGTCATTCAATCAATCATGCTAATTGGTCTACGCACTCATTAGTCAACGCATTTCATTGCTTATCCTGATTGACATCTTCATTAGGTAAACAGAGTCCTAGAGTTTGCTTTCTGGATGCTTACTTAAATCAGGGTTTGCTATCGACATGTGCTATTGGTCCGCCCGGGTTTTCTGTGAGGTTCTCTCTGGATTCGTTCGAGGTCCGCTAAAGCGGACCCAGATCGAACCGGAAAAGCAGACACGGTTTCGTTTGGTTCTGTTTGGTTACTGTTAGGTTGTGTCTGATTGGTACTATCTATTTGTCGGTACTATAAAAGGGACTTATACGTGGACTATGGTCATTATTTTTTTATATTTGAAAACTATGAAATGTTTACTACAAAAGTCTGTGAATAGCACAAAATGTAAATTGTACATTTTTTTTTTTTTTTTTTTTTTTTTTTTTTTCCCGATAAGCGATGCGTTAGTTAAAGTGGATCTCTAAATCTCTGCAAAATGAATTACCGCGTCATTTTCACAGTGCTGACGATATGGAAATTGTAGAACAAATTAAAACCTCTATTAGCTCACAAAGAAAGTAGGAATATAATATAATAAAAATATTCATGAGGGTATATTGATTCGTAAGTAAGGAAAGTTAAAGATTGAAAAGTTGAAGTCATCATTTTTGTCATAAATTTTTGTTGTTAGGTTACTATTAATGTATTTTCAAGCAAATTATCCAAATATGAAGCAGATGTGTCAGATTCTGTGGTATCTTTTATTTCAAGTTCACTGGGATATACATGTATCGAGTCGACATATGAACGGAAGAATTTATGGTTAATTGATAATACATCGACAATATATCTGAATGTCAAGTTGAAGACTTCAACAAGTGTCTTCTTCTTCTCATGTAAAAGTTTCTGAATAAATTCTGCTTCATATGAATACAAAAAAGACTGCTAAAAACGGGGCACAATTGGTACCCATGGAAATTCCGACAGATTGTTCGAAAACCTGATCTCAGAACATTTCATAGCTTTTGCCAATCAGAATTTCAACTCCCTCTTTTTTTAATATCTAGTTCAGAGTACTTGTATGTGTGCAATCAGAATGTTTTTTTTAACAAAATAATTTTGTAAATGACCAATGACAATGTAAGTCAATTCACGATACTGTGAATATCGTGAATATTGTGAATATCGTGTGTGTGTGTGTGTGAGGGTGTGTGTGTGAGAGAGAGAGGGAGGTGTATGTGTGTGTGTGAGGGTGTGTGTGTGTGTGAATATCTTTCTTTCCAGATCGGTTTTATATATTTCTATATAAATGAGTATTAGCCAATTAGTTTTCAACGCACATGCATGCACCTGGTTTTGAAAGTTGCCATACGCGGGTACATGAAGGTTTAGCTTCCGTAAACCCTTATATCACAGTACATTACACGCAGTCACTTCTCTGATCTACCAAGATATGACATCATAACGGAATATGACGTTAAGTCACTGCAAACTGGATTTGTCATGACGAGGAGAGTCTCATTACTGTTCTAAATATTGTAATCTTGACTCGCCGTTTGCAGCCTGGGGTTGAGTATTTATCATTGAATATTAAAACGTTACTTTTTTACAATTTTGTTTTGTGTATTCAATACGATATTGCAAAACAGAGACTTTGAAATGCTTCCACTTATGGGGCCATTGTAAAGAGGTAGAATTTATATATGTGTATATAATAGATTGGCAAAAGTGGTTAAATATTTTTTTTTAATCAAAAGTGGAGACCGCTCTCTAAATGTATCCTTGGATGGAGGTTAAATATCTTTGCTTTAATGTAAATTATGATGAAGATTGGGGAAAAAACTCTCAAATATGTGGGTAAATTGAAATTCTCGTAAAATATGTGTACACAATTAATGATATGGCTCGTATCATGCACACAAGCGTCTCACGTACAGAGGAATACAATTAGTTTATTTCTGTGACAAAATGTAAATAAAATTTGCGACGAAGTGTTTTTATGTGCAACACTTGGAGATATAATTGACCGTTACACTTTCAGCCGAGTCATGTGATTTCGCAACAAATTTGTTGATATATAACTGAGAGATTCTTGTATGCAAATTGTCTGTATTTATTTTCGTAGCCTACATATTTAAATCAAAACCGATCTAGAAATTAAATGAAATGTTTTAAATGCAATAAATTGCGTTGGAGAGCCATAATATAGCTGCGCAAACCTTAACTTATAGTATGTCATCATTAGTGCTACATCATAGTTTTATATGAATTTCAATGGAATTACATACACTCTGGTCTTTTGTTGCTGAAAATTACATCTAAGAGTTGTAATCACTTACAATCTTCGCCAATCAGATTACAGCACGGGTGTTTTCTACATTCCTTACATATATTTTCTGATAACATTTCGAAATATGTATCTTTTACCTAAATTTCAGAGTATTTAATGGACTAGTAAGAGAATTACAGAAAATAGAGTATCAGCCAATCAGAATTCAGCGAACATGCGTACATGTCCTTGATGTCACTTTGTTAGTGCCATAGTGTACATGTAGGAACATGCAAGGACTAAGGCAAAAGTAAAGTCACAACTGCTATAAAATCTATAAGATTTAGCAGTTTAAATATTATTTTTGTTCAACCCTTGCAGTTGGCCTTATCATCCTTATCCATAAAGTATGTCAAATTGAAGTACGTTCTGGGTAAAAAAAAAATCTCCAATTTGAAACATAAAAAACCCGATATTTTTCATCTTCATCAGCATTAATCAAAGATTAAAACAGGAATGTTTTGTTAAATTAATATTACATTTAGCATGCTTATTATCTTAAGCTAAAACCATTAAGTATTTATTTGAATATGATTTTCACCAGAGGCAACTTGTATAATCTTAAAATAAATACTGTACTTAATATTATTATTAACCATCATAAAAAACTTTGATACTTTGATTTACTATATAGTAAACTTTGCTCTTGACGTTTCTTAAAGATTTTGGGCCTTATGATCTCTTTAATTAAGCAAAAGTAATCTGAATATTAGAAAAAGTATGTCATAAAGCAAGTTATATCGATTTTTCACATTAAAAAGTGCATGTTGGACTTGGAGAAAAAAAAAATAATTAAAAATCACAGTAAAATACTTTAGCTGTAGGAAAATCGTTGATTTACTATACTAATAATAAAAAAAAATGATACTTTAATTAATTATAGTTAATTAGTATTGTATTGATTACCATGTATTTGCTTGGGAATTTTCATTTTAATTTGTTTCATCTAAATTTTTCTTTAATCTCTGGTCCATATTTCAAAACGCTCTAGAAAGGTGACGTAGCTATGACATTGAATATTATAGGTTTTGTTTTTGTTTTCCTGACTGCAGTTTGTCTCAATTGCCAGTGTTCATGAAATGGAGGGGAGAAACAATGTCTTCGGTAAGAAATGAAAATATTTCATTAGAATTTAAAGATGGATGATTTGTCCCACTGTTTTGAAATATTTTGCTCCATCTGCCATTCAAGAACGATTTCCTCATTGTGAAAAAGAAAGAAGTAACACAAAAATGCTTTTGATATAATCAAGTTATTTAAAATAAAATTACATGCTTGTAAGAAACACGTGTGCTATTGCAAACCAGTAAATAAATGAAATAAACAACCAAACAAAAAAAATATTGAAAAGCCAATCCTGGTTCCATTGCGTGTTCTATTCTATTCATCTACCAACGTCCCAACCATCTCTTCCTCCTAAATAAGAATTAATTTCATCATTTCACAGTAAATCTATGTTCATTATTGTAAATGTAATCAAAGGTAATATTTATCCTTTTTCACATATGTTCATCTAAGTACTTCAACTAAGTAATGCATGTTTTCAGTCCGTAAAAATGCTTCACTTACTCTTTTTCCCTTCTTGAGATAGCTTGCCGGTTTAGTTATTTGAATCCTCCTGAAATTGGAATTTATCTACATTTGTTTTGTACTTGCATCATCTCTCCTTTCTCTTTCTTTTGAAATCTGCACTCAACTGTTGCATTTATATGACCATGAAAGCAAATACCTTTGCTATGAATGCAGTTTGTATCTCAAGCTTGCATAGAAAAAGCGTATGCAATTTACAGATTAAAAAGTATAAAAATGAAAGATTATGCAAAAATTATAAATTGCAGTCTTAATGTAAAGCTTGGAAAAATTCAAAATAACAGAAATAGCTAATTGGGATAAATTTACTTTTTTTACCTTAATCGTGATCAATATTTTTATTGTATAATTAAACTTTCTTGAAAGAAAAAATATCCCCATTTATTTCAACATCGATTTCAACTCAACAGCGTTGTATCAGTGGAAATTTTGATACAAACAACATTTTCTCTGCAGACATATTTACCATGAGGCCCTAACTGGCATCATGAAATATGTCCGCAGAGCAAATGCTCTTCATTACACCATGTTCACTGAAACAACGTTGTTTTTTTTCTTTTATAATTCTTTTTCATAGATATTCAAACCTTGAAATTTAGCAGAAAAAAGACATTCGTGTATTTATTAGAAAATAATTTTCTTACTGACTCCTAAGATAAAGAGCATGAAGGACTATATTTAATGAGCCAGCAAAAATTAATAAGACGATTTTTTGGATCAAATGAACAGTCGTTTTGGGACAAATGCTATTTGGGAACGCTCTACATGTTATTCTGTTTCAAGCACAAATCTTCCTTTTGTGAAGGTACGGCGTTTATTACGTGATCAGGAAGCCTGGGTTCGATTTTCTTTGTGCGCGTCGCGCCAAACCTCAGATGTGAACATAGATAGTGACTGCTCCCTCCTTAAGGGCCCAGTATAAGAAGTAAAAAGCACGGGTCTTTCGGATGAGACCTTAAAATCGAGGTTTCGTGTCAAGATAAAAAACCATCACAGCTAAATGACCCCGAGTGCCGACTGTAGGTCTATGTAGTTGAAGCCTTGCACTGGTATATTATTGAAGTCTCTAACTAAGTGGAAAAATATCACTGGATTATTCAGATCACTGAGTAAGTGTTTGTTTATTTTAAAAATGAAATTATAGAATAACATAATTTAGTGCGCAGCTAGATTAAGGACGCCCATGAAATACACGCCTTATATATTCAGAGAAAATGAATACAATTTTATTTTTTTAACAGTTTTGATGAATGTGCATTGTGGTGTTTACATTTGGATATTTCTGGTCTCTGCTGTTGGGCCAAAGCGACATCACTTACATCTGATGTTTGTCACTGGACAGGTTTAAAATTAGAACATATATGTACTACTTCAAAGATCGTAAAAGTTCAACGATATACGGGTATCTTTCGGCTATAATTATGTTTTGTTTAAGAATAATTTCGTAACATGAAAAGTGCTGGAAGCAACTTCCTCATCCTCGGGAATTGCGTAAAATTTAGCTGTCTTTCTATAAACTCCAGACAGAGATGTAATACGCACTGGAATAATGTTACATTACGAAATAAATAAACAATGCACAACCAGCTCCCAGCACTTTTCAGAATAGTAGGGAAAATAGTTACACGTGTTTAAAAATTCAAAATTTATAGTGAAGCGGATATTGTTGAACTTTTGATATTTTCGAGGGGCTGAACCCTCATTCCAGCACATTACTGGACAAATGTGCTCCGTACGGCTACATATAAAGCCTACATGTTATCAATTTACTTTGACAATCAAATGTGGATTAAAATATTTTAGAATATGTATTTATTTTGGTCCTACTAAGCTCGTTTCGTATTTATTTTTATTTTTACAAGCTACGATAATAGCTTGATCCACGCCTCAAGTACAGAGAAACTCTGTGTCCAACTAAAAAATGACGTCATCTCAGTAAGTACAGCGAGATCAAGCTGGCTTTTATTCTACATACTCAAAATGCTATTTGGCAAGATAAGTTGCACTTTTATTTATCTTTATAATATTTATAAGAAGCGAAAGTATTTTAGTGTTTTTCTTTTTAAAAGAACATCCAATATTTATTCATCAAGATTCATTTGATTTCCCGAACCTCTGCATAGGCTGACGTAGATATGGGAGTCCTTCACCTAGCTGAGTTATTACTGCAAGAGAAGAAACGAGTAAATAAAAGCAAAAGGACAACAATTCCATAATATCCATGTCTCTGATCCTTAACAATGTTTCAACGATGAAAAACAAAAGATGTGTGCAAAATGTGAACGTACTAAAAAAGCAGAATATAGAACAGAAAGATTATTGTCACAGATAACAATATTGCTCATCTAAATATTGGATAAAGTTATACGCATGGGGAAAAAAATCAAATAAATACTGCTGAATATGCCAAATTCACCCCCCCCCCCCCAAAAAAAAATATAATTGCACCAGGGAAGACATTGCTTCATTTATTGTTATCATGTTTGAAAAATTATGAATCATTGAAATAATGAAATAAATAAATTACTCAGCATATATATATTTTTTTTTATTTTGATATAAAATTACACCTTATATAATAAATTCAATTTCGATTCTGCAATCATGTATACGAAAATTTAAATTGCATTCTAACGATATATATTTTAGAAGCTTGTAATACACCATGTAAATTTCTGGTGTATTCTTTGCATACCCCGACCCTTTTATTCTGTGCCATTTTGTTGTTTTATCAAATAAAACTGTTCCTTATGCTTCAAATATACTAGCTTTCCCATAGTCGTCCTGGAAATTAAAAACAAAACAAAACAAAGAAACGAAAAAAAAAATGTGACCAGGAGAAATATAATTACCCCGTGGCTCTGTCACAATGACAAAAAATTTTGCAGTTATTACAGTCTTTCCCTCTCTTCAGATTTACTGATTTTCCGTCTACGTCTTGGTAGAGACATTGAAGGAGCAAGAGCAACACCAAAATCACTACAGCTTTCATCTAAAATAAGTTGTAAGGAAACTAGTCATAAGTAATGTATTTAAAACACTTTAATACTATATAAAGTTAGACTTTTAGAATTCCTACCTTTCTTTCAGTAGAAGTACACGTGGTATGACTATTCCACTGTTTGCTAATTCCATAATATATGTATGAATGACAACGCAACATCTGCTTATTACAATTTAATACTATACCATATGTGATGATACTCAAGTTTAGAATAACAGAAGAGATGTGAAATTCAAGACACGACTTTTTTCCATCTGATATTGTGATTTGTAATTTTATAATATCCAAGGATGAATCCATCAAATACGCAAGTGTTACTTTTTATTGTCTATTTTGTTTACTGTTATTTTTCATCTCCATAATGAATTAATGTAGAGGATAAGTAAGTACAATAGTAATGATTATGAAAAAAAAAAAAAAAAAAAGAAGATATAATCGAAAATATATAATTTATGAACTGTACAAATATATGGCTTCTTATTATTATCGATGCAACCTTTCGGGTAATTTGGTAATTACGTATATACCAAATTATATGTATATATCTATAAAATGCATTAATTTGTAAATTTTTTGAAGATTTTGTATACTTTAAAACCTCATCTTGTAATGTAAGAATTTAAATTTGTAAAATATTAGGAAGAGTGCGTAGTAAGTTTTCAGAATTGTGCTCAATTCCTTTTTATTATAAATTACAATAAAATATGTTAAAAGTAGGGATGTCAATTTTGTCAATAATTCATATTCGAATATTCATTGAAAGTATTCGAATATATTCGAATATTCGATAAAATAAATAAAATCTGTTTTATTTTAAATATGCATCATCCTACTTTCACGAAAGGTTTAGCGTAGATATACTTATATTGGAAGTAAAATTGTTTGCAGACTTTTGTAAGTGTACAATAAAATTCCATTTGATATTTGTCAATATTTGAAATAAATAATTGATTTAAATGTAGAAAGGTATAATTTTAACAAATGAAACGTGTATATATAGTAGTTCCAACTGAGGAACCAGTCGTCTTACCAAAGGCAAGATAGTCGTAACGATATACTGTTCAGATTTCAACACGTGTAATAAATTACAATTATCTGCCTAATAAGAGATATGATTATAATCTTTGATACAATGTTTTTAAAATATAATCAAATATTTCCATAGACAATTTTCCCAGGTAATTAACTAATTTACCGATAATGAACATAAAACGCAGGATTTTTTACAACCCGAGATAATCAAGTAATTTACACATTCATTCTGAAATTAAGCCCTTTACAATATTAATTACAGACTAACTCTATATCGGACATTCATTTAATGATCAATTAAATTTGTTTAGATAAGTATGTATACTCTTCACTTTTTGGACACTCGAAGAAGGTTTTCATTTTGTTGTCCTCTATTCTAGATCCGAGCGTATTTAACTTATGAAAACTATGAAAGTATGTTTTGTATTATACATAAAGCATTATTGTACAATTCATTAACACCTTACTCAAAACAAAATACATGTAATTTAGTAGATCTGTAAGATAAGAAAGTAGTGAAAGAAATCAGGCGATCGAAATTGATAGTAAATTAAACAGGGATAATTCCAGTACTGTTCTAAACAAAATTTATTAATCACAGTATATATGTACTTTTTTATGAAACCTGAATAACACCGAATATTCGAATCTTAAATTCATATTCGAATATCAACTCATCGAATGAATATTCGAATGTTCGAATATCCGTTGCCATCCCTAGTTAAAAGAAATATAAATATATTTGATTTGTTTCAGATTTGCTCAAACTCGTGCTAGAAGATAGGCTGGAAGTGGTGCCCAATTTGATTCAAGGCCCACCAAATCCAGATGTGTCAGTTTTTGTGGTAAAGAGAGAAGATGACTTTGAAAGAACGAAGACCCTTCATCGCAATTTCTTACTTTCAATTTGATGTGTTGATCCTGCAGAGCAGCGAAATATTATCACCAAATCAAAAGCAAAAACCAGAAAAAGAATGGCACAGAACACACCAACAGTAGAAACAGATCAGTCTCGAGAAGTAGCAGAAAGATCCTGTGACCTGTACGTTGATATTTAATTAACGGTACTTCTACCACCGGCTAGAAAAGCTCCAGCCGATGAACAACAGGTCATCGAGACTAAAACAGCAGGAGATAACCTGAGGTCTGGCTAAATAGCGTGTCCCGGAAAATCCGTGAACCCATAGTATATGAGGGTAATGGCTTTGAGACAATATGGATAAAGAAAATGTAGTTTTGTTTTGTTTGTTTGTTTATTGTTTAATGTCCATCTCGAGAAATTTTTACTCATATGGAGACGCCACCACTTGCCGGTGGAGAGCTACAAATTTTGACCTATGCTGTGAGGGATCTCTTTCGTGCAAACACCTACTGCGACACGGGACCTCGGTTTATACGGTCTCATCCGAAGGACCGGTCTCCACGTCCCACAGTGGGATTCGAATCCGTGACGTAAGGATCAACTCCTTACTCTGCGACTCTAGAGCGAACGCTCTAACCACTGCGCCACGCATGCGAAAAGAAAATGTAGTATTAAGAAGACTAAAAGATTAAAGAAACCACCGAAACGGCTAAAGGATTATCATGTATATTTAATAAGTACTGATGACAGGAGTAAGAACAAAGTTGACGTTCTCACATAAATACTTGATGTTACTGAAGATTCAAGGAACACTTGATTTTTTTTTAAAAAATGATCCATAGAACCTGTATATTAAAGTTCAGCACAACTATTTTTAAGACTTAATTACTTTAGATTATGATGTCACATTAATTAAATGACGATGTCATTTCTCTAATGGGGGATGGTTATTGTACCTTTTATTTTTTTTTATTTTAATTAAATCGTGTATATTATTCTCATTCATTATTTTATTCTTTCTTTTATCCACCTATTCACTCACTCATTAAGCGCTGCGCAATGCTCTACTTACACTTAAAGTTTCCTTTGTTTAGTGTTTATTATAAATCTGAACACCCCTATTTTTTAAAATGTAGTATTTCTGGAAAACGACCAGGTATGTTAGGAATTGAACATTCCATTATTTGTAACACTCTTCTGGTATGTATGGTTGAATGGTTTTATCTGGAATTTACTGGAAGTCCTTTCTTGATTTCATTACTCTGAGAATCGCTTTGGAAAGACCTAGATATCAGCCATTTAAACATTTATTTACCATTTTAAGTTTTGAAAATGATACCTTTTTTCCTGTAAATAACTTCAATAAACATTTAAAATACTAAATAAGAAAATTACATGTAATATATTTATGAATGAGGATTCTAAATAATTTACTTTGCAGAGAAGTTGAAGTAGAATTGTAAATGATATAAGCGATAGCCAATCTATTGTTTATGGTTTTAAGGATTGGTGATGGTTTTGAGTAAACAATTTAAATCTTTTTTTAATCTTTTTTTCCTTTTAACTTCATTAATTAAACATTTCTAACAGTAACTGTGAAAGTTATCCATGAAGATTATAAACTAAGAAGAATATTATCTCCTAATTATGAGAAGAAATATAATAAATATTTACAGGAAAACTATTTCGTAATTATTACAAAATCATTACAAATACGAATCGAGAGATTTTTTGATTTTTTTTTTGGGGGTTTCCCTGGTTCATGTCATACCTGTTGCCCGTTGAAAACTAAGAAAGTTATTAATGTATATACTGCAGGTTATTCAAGTTGTAAAATTCAAAATTTGTCTGGAACTAACTACCGAATAATTCAGAAAATTTTGGAGAGGCTACGAGACGGCGGGAATACATAAAACATGCCAAGGTTGAGGAGCAAGAAAATTAGGAGCGAGTAATAATAGTGAATAATAGACAGACTTCAGGAGATCTCACAATGAGATTTAATGAAAGAACACAATAACAAGTATCTGAGAGAACAATAAGTTGGTAATCTTGTGAGCATGGTTAGAATTAAACGTCAACCTGTCTCGGAGAACAAAACGTTTAACCGTGAAGGAAGAATTGTTTTTGTTTCGTTTGTTTGTTTGTTGTTTAACGTCCCTCTCGAGAATTGTTCACTCATATGCAAAGCATTTGTGATGTTTTTGGGGTTTATTAAGTAGTTTGGAGTTGGAGAACATTTGTACTAGTGGAAGGTAATATGAACACAGTTGAATATTTTTCTGTTTTGGATGATAATTTATTACCAGCTATTTTGCTAAGCGGCAGTAAATATTTCAGGATGATACTGCGCCTTCTAATGTTTCGGCACGAGCTCTTGAGTTGAAAGTAGAGAATGATATTACATTTGTAACATCCATCAGTGGCCAGCGCAGAGCCCAGAAAAAAAAAATATTTTACGTTCTAAGAAAAACTAGATAAATTAAGGACATATGGTACAAACAAACCTTTACCAACTTCCTAGCTACATTTCTGCGAATAATTTACCATATCCGCTAACATCGTTGCTGGGGTTTCATTAAATCTCGCCAGAGCCACTACGAACTCCTCGAGTTTTATAAATTCCATAGCACCGAAAAATAAAAGTTCCTAACACATTAGTAGGGGGTGTGTATATACATTGAAAGGTTATGTAACATCTGTTCCGATATACTCGGGGGGGGGGGGGGGGGGGGGCTCCTCCCAAATATCCTTAATGGAAGACGACTCTTACTGATATAAGAAGCTCATATTTACATATTTATTTATAAGTCATATTTCTAAGAGATAGGTCGCCCGCGTGGCGCAGTGGTTAGAGCGTCTGCTCTAGAGTCGCGAAGTAAGGAGTTGATCCTTACGTCGCGGGTTCAAATCCCACTGTGGGACATGGAGACCGGTCCTTCGGATAAGACCGTATAAACCGAGGTCCCGTGTCGCAGTAGGTGCTGGCACGAAAAAGATCCCTCACTGCTCAATGGTCGTAAGTGCCGAGTATAGGACAAAATTGCAGCTCTCC